GACAACCTTGGCTACCGATTTCGCCCCTATTCTGCTCGATTTTTCCCCATTCCACTGCTATCCCTGCTGTCTCCTGTGCACTACTGTTTTCTACCTAATTTGTAGGTGGTTTCCTTCGTGGTTTTGAGTGGGATTCTTGGTTCATTCTTGTGGAGCTACTTCGTGTGTTATTGATCCAAGCTCCGTCTAATCCATTTTGGTGCCAATCTTTGTGATATTGAAAGGGAAAGTGTTTAGGGTCCGTTTGATTGCAAGGGTGGAAAATGGGTGGAAATAAATGTTTTACAGAGAATTGATTTTTTTAGAAAATGTTTTACTAGGAATTGCAATTAATTGTGTCTGATTTGTATAATTTTTCATGAAAAATGTTGAAAATTTGGTGTCTATTTGACTTATTTTTTATGGAATTTGTCCATTAAAAAGATAATTTTTTCTACTATTGAATCTAAATTTGTTCTCATTGTCAAAAAAATTTTTGAAAAAAAAAATTTACCATACCGATTATCATTCGTTTGACTTTATTTTGCATGAAAGTTGTCGTTAAAAGTGAATTTTTTTTTTTACCATTGTGTCTAGAATTTGTTCTCATTGCAAAAACAAAAAAAAAGGTGGAAAATGTTTTACCACATATTAGGTGAAAAAATATTTTCCACCATTTGTGCATCAAAGGGTTAAACATAGAAAAAGGGAGGAAAACATTTTCCGTGGAAAATTTCGCACATCAAACGGTCAAAAAAGTGAAAGTAGTCCCTGAAAAACTCCGCCAATCAAACGGAGCCTTATATTCATTCATAGCATTTCGATTTCGTTGTTATTAATTAATTTGGAAATCACTTAGTGTTTGTTTGATCGATTGATTGAACTTGACACTGGTAAGTAGAATTTAGTCATTTGACAAGTATAATTGATAATATACTTTTTGACCCGTGCACCTATTTTTATTAATGTTTTTTATCATTCTGCGCAATAAAGTGACATTATGATCGACTAGTCCAATTTAATGTAGGGAGCATTAATATTTTATAAAATGGGTAGTTGGCATAATACAATCTAAGAGTATCTCAAAAAGACTATTTTTAAATAGTATATTATATATTCTACAATTTAGAGAACATATATAAATTTAGAGAGTAGAAATTTTTAAGTATTCCAACAAGTTCTTTATATTTAACACTTAATTTTAATATTCTCAAAAAATATTTATTGCTTTCTCTATCTTTTATTTTCGTTAGATTCTCTTCAAATTATTATATTACTTTTCTTCACTGGAAATTGAAATATTTTGAATACATTTAATAGAGATGTCAAGACGGACGGGTCGGTCAGACTAGTGAAAACCGGCCAATTTCGACCCGGGACCGCGGGCCGACCCGTGACCCGAACGGGAGGTTCACGGGTCAAGGAACTGTGACCCGCCGGTTGCACCTTCATGGGCCGCGGTTGACTCGCTGGCCCGTGAAAAAAAAAATTAAAAAAATTTTGAAAAAAGGGGGGGAGGGGGAATCAACTCAGTTGGGATGTACGTATACTATAAATATTGGATAATAGTAAGGGATAATTGCAGCAACGGTCCCAAACCTTTCAGATTTTTGCGCACTTTACCCTAACATTTGATTTGTGTCAGCGGAGGTCCCAAACCTTTAATAAATATGCGGC